ATTGATTGGTGTCGTGAAATGGTTCAAAGATTTAACGGAGGTGACTCAAATGCTGTGTTCGACATACTTACGGGAGACGAAAGTTAGTCCAGCTTGTTATGATCTTGAAACTAAGAGACAGTCTGCTGTCTGAGTGTTTCCTTCCGAGGAGTTGCCAACTAAAGCGAAGAGAAGTCGAAGCGTGGGAAAAAAGACGGTGGCCTCGTTCTTCGGAAGGACAGGTCATTACGCAATAATTGTTTTATAGGATTAAAAAGTAGTTACTGCAGAGTGCTACACTAACAATAATTGTTTGCCACTTGTCTTGGACAAAGTTTGGGAGAAACGACCTCGAAGTAGGATCCTCCTTCACCACGACAACGCCTAGTCACACACCGACAAGCAAACAATCGACAACTTGGCGACGTCAGACGTGGAATCACTGGGTCTCCCGCCGTAAATCCTGACCTTGCGATTTTTATTTATTTCCGAAAATAAAAGAAAAACTTTGACGAAAACGTTTTTGTGGATGCCGAGGAAGCAGTGGCTGCGTTGCAAAATGCCGTCGAAGGGACCCCTAAGGACGAGTGGGCAAAGTGCTTTTCTCAGTGGTTCCATCGATTGCAGCAATGTATTGATGTCATCATCATCATCATCATTACAGCCTTTCATAAGTCCACAGCTGAACATAGGCCTCCCCCAAAGAATGCCACAAAGCACGGTCCTGAGCCACCTGCATCCATCGACTTCCTGCATGTCTTACCAGGTCGTCACTCCATCTCGTGGGGGGTCGCCCTACACTTCGCCTACCGGTACGAGGCTGCCACTCGAGAACCTTTCTTCCCCATCGGTTGTCGGTTCTTCGAGCTATATGGCCGGCCCACTGCCACTTCAGCTTATTAATCCGTTGGGCTATGTCGGTTACTCTGGTTCTACTGCGGATATCCTAATTCCTAAGTTTATCACGCAGAGAAACTCCGAGCATAGCCCTCTCCATAGCTCGCTGAGCGACCTTGAGCTTCCTCATACGGTCAGCAGTGAAGGACCACGTCTCAGTTCCGTAAGTCATCATTGGCAACACGCACTGGTTGTACAATTTCGTTTTAAGGTTTTGAGGTATGTCTGACGAGAAGATGTGTCGTAGCTTCCAGAACGCTGCCCAGCCGAGTTGAGTCCGTCGATTGACCTCTCGGTCGAAGTTGGACTTACCTAGTCGGACTATTTGTCCCAGGTAAGCATACTCGTCAACAACTTCGAGCTTAGTGCTCCCAACAACTACCGGCATAGGTGTGACATGGACATTAAACATAATCTTTGTTTTGTCCATGTTCATCTTAAGACCTATCCGTTGGGAGACACTATTGAGGTCATTGAGCATAGTGCTTAGGTCCTCCAGCGATTCTGCCATAAGGACTATATCGTCGGCAAATCGAAGGTGAGTGATGTACTCGCCATTGATGCTGATACCGTATCCTTTCCAGTCCAGAAGCTTGAAAACGTCTTCCAATGCAGCGGTGAAGAGTTTCGGGGATATGACGTCACCCTGTCTTACACCTCTCTGCAATTGGATAGGTTTCGTACTCTGGTTCTGTACTCGGATAGCCATCGTAGCCCTACTGTACAAGCACTTCAACACTTCGATATACCGACAGTCAACTTGGCATCGCTGAAGGGACTGCAGCACCGCCCAAATTTCGACGGAATCAAAGGCTTTCTCATAGTCCAGATACGCCAGACATAGTGACAAATTGTACTCTTCGGACTTCTGTACAATTTGCCGAAGGGTATGTATGTGGTCTATTGTGCTAAAGCCCTTTCGGAAACCGGCTTGTTCGGGAGGCTGGAAGTCGTCAAGTCTGCGCGCGAGACGATTCGTAATGACTCTCGAAAACAGCACGTAGACGCGACTCAGAAGGGAAATCGGTCTGTAGTTCTTCAAGAGAGCGTTGTCACCTTTCTTGAAGAACAAGACCACCGCACTTCTGCTCCACGCCTCCGGTGTAATGCCACCATGGAGGACGGAATTAAAGAGCTTCTGAAGGACTTCAAGTACCGGTCTTCCACCCGCTTTCAGAAGCTCCGCTGTAATTCCATCCTCGCCTGGGGCCTTGCCGTTTTTAAGGTGCTGGAGAGCCATTCTAATCTCGCTCACACTGACGTCCGGGATATCTTCGGAATAGTGTCGGATAAGACTCGCTCTTGGATCGTTACTCACACTTGCGCGTGGCTCCAACGATGACGTGTACAGCTGCCCATAGAACCTCTCAATCTCACTCAAAATCTCAGGTGTCCCGGAAACGATGCTGCCACATTCGGTCTTCAGCTTTGACAGTTGGCTCTTTCTGGCACACAGATCTCTGGCAAAGACTTTGGAGCCTTGGTTCCGCTCGATCGCTTCTTCAATACAAGCTGTATTGAAGTTGCGTAAGTCCCGCCGCATGCATTTGGAGATCTGTCTGTTCAGTTGCCTGTATGCTGTCAAATCTGTTGAAGAATGTAGCTTCATCTCCCGTCTAACAGCCATGAGATTAAGAGTGTGATCGGAGAGTTTTTGTGTTCTTCTGCGGCGGGTCTTGCAGAACTTAGCTCCGACCGCATGGACAGTTTCCACGAGCTTGTCATTCATATCGTCCACTTCATTGCAGTCTTCTAGGCACTGGAAACGGTTTTTTAGCTCGAGCTGAAAGGTTTCGGGACTTTGGATTAGAGCACGAGGGGGACGGAGCGTTGACTTTTGAGCGTTGATTAGACGATACCTCTCCAACTTAACGTTTAGGTTCAGTGTGCCTCTAACCATTCGGTGATCGCTACCAGTTTTCACCCTCGCGATCACGGAGACATCACTGAACAGTTGTCGTCTGGTCGTCATAATGAAGTCAATCTCATTTTTTGTCGAACCGTCGGGGCTCGACCAGGTCCACTTCCTGTGGGGCCGCTTCTGGAAGAAAGAGTTCATCATAAAGAGTCCCTCTTTCTCCATGAAGTCGGCCAGCTGCTGGCCCCTTGGGTTCCGTTGCCCTATTCCAAATTTCCCTACATTTAGCTCACCGTTCTCTCTTGTGCCTAGTTTTGCATTGAAGTCTCCCATTAACACCGTATATTGGGTTTTGGAGGAATGCATGGCTCTAGAGATATCCTCATACATTTCCTCCACCTCCTCATCGGGGTGTGTCGAGGTTGGTGCGTAAACCTGTATGACCTTCAGCGAATACCGTTTGGTGATTCTGAGTATAAGGTACGCAACCCTCGTCGACACACTCCCGATCTTTACAACGTTGTTAACGAGAGACTTGTGGACGATAAATCCGACACCTCCTTGGGACAGATGGTCGCCCTCCCGGTGATAGAGCAAGTTGCCGGATTCGAGGATTACCGTGTCCTCCCCCTCTCTTCGGACTTCGGATAATCCTATAATATGCCAGCGCAACTTGTCTATCTCTTCTTCCAGCTCCACGATCTTCTCGTCAGTACTCAGGGTGCGTGCGTTGTACGTTGCCAGGTCGAGTCGTCTAAGGTGGAAAACGATCCTCCACCGGAGATTCTTAGCACCCCCTGCCCCGCCGTTACCATGGTCGCCACCGTAGCCAAGAATAGCGGGGCCGCCGGGGACTGGGGGCCGTCTGTTTGTTGCTTTAATCATTGGGGGGTATTTGCCATAGCTGCCACGCTTGGCGAGCGGGTTGGCAACCGCAGTTTTTTTATTGTAATTTTGGCTATTATCAGGAAGATGCTGCTGCCCATCTCCTGCCTGTTTCCCTTTGTCGCCTTTTACGACACCCATGGGAGGATATGGGGTAGTGGATATTCTTGACCGTCACTACACGGCATGTATTGATGTAAAAATATATAATAAAACTAATAACTTGCTAGTTTGTTCAGTTTTAGATTTTTTAAGAACTTTCAGTGTCCGAGGGTGACACTGAAAGTTAATGAAAGTTAAAAATTCATTCGTCATACATAGGATTCATAGAGGGGGTATTCGCCATAGTTACCACGCTTGGCAAGCGGGTTGGCAACTGCAGTTTGTAATTGTTTAGAGTTGTTATCAGGAAAATACTGCTGCCCATCTCCTCTTTCATTTACCTCTGTCGCCGCTTACTATACCCACGGGATGATATGGGGCATTGGAATCTCTTATGTAACAACTACACGGTTCAGCATAATTTATTTCACCAAAATGTTCAATATATTATGACAAAAACAAAAAATTCCGACGGAGACTACATTGAGAAATAATATAAATGCACACGTAGTAGCGCCACGGCCACGCTGCAGAAGCGCGTTATGGTTGCAGCAGGAATGTGTCGCCACGGCCAGCACGGCTAGCATGGGCTGGGGCCAAAACTTTTATCCCCCGATTATATGTCAGTGGGACAAGAGATAAAATTATCTTGACCCTATGCCAAAGCACGGCAACGGGTAGAAGTATATCCCCGTTTGACATAACGAGTAGACATATATATCCCCCGTCCGTAGCATGTAGCCAAATGAAAGATAAAAAATTATGCTTTTTTGACATTTGAAAGGGACAATTCTATCCCACTTCATTGGACGTGGGTTTAAGTTTATATGCATACAAAAAAATCTATTTCAGTCTAAGTCTATCTCTCATTTTATCTACTATGGATATTATATGCACCGGTGTGCCCATGCTCGAATGGTGGATAAAACGAAGCGAGGGGATAAACATGTTCTCCTTTCCCCGGGGATAAAATTGTCGCCTGCCCATACTGGGAACGAATACGCTCGCACACAGTTACAGTATGAAATAGCAACATAATGGTACTATATTTCGTCAGTTAATTGACGACAATTGGAGATTCTATTTATTGGTAACGAGGCAATTCATTTTAGTCTTTAGGAAGGATCTTCCTGATAACAATAACCGGCTGCCGGTCATCCCCTGTTTCATATCTTTCTGTCGCCTCTTACGAAACCCACAGTATGATATGGGGTAATGAATTCTCTTATGCCGTCATCATATGGTAATCAAATCGTATCAATTATAAATTTTAGCGTACCTTAGATCCATGTAATGCACTTTAGGACCGTACATTTTCCATAGTACGGACGGGATTTTTGTGCAATCTTGTCCGCAGTAAGTTAACTGCAACAAAAATGGAAGGAACTAAATAAAATTATAGTGACAACTATGACACTCAATAATTCATTCGTTATGCCTTTAGAAGAATTTTAGTGGCAATACTCCGAAAGTAGATATTAAATTATGAGATTTGCTTATTTGCAGAATCTGAATGACAGGGTGAGAAATTGTGTGATAAGAGAAAAGTGTGATTTGCAAGATGATGTTGTGATCAGGATTAAGAAAGGAATGCTTGTTTAGTTGGTTTGGTCATGTATAAAGAATGAATGAAGAAAAAGTGACAAAACAAATTTATGTTGCAGAGATGACCGGCAGAGTCGGGAAGAGTAGGGAGTCCCTAGGCGAAAGTTTATCGACCAAATTGGCGATATATTGAAAATGGGCCAAATTACGTGTACCTTTAACCGACTTTTTATATGGATGCGGAGGAAGCAAGAGAGGTGTGTCAGGATCGTGCCAAATGGAAGTCCATAGTCTCTGCCTACCCCCTGGGTGACAGGCGTGAGTGAGATTTGCTTATTTATAGCAATTGAAATAATACCCAACAAAACCGAACAAAAATTGTTAAATCAAAACTACATTCTTGATCTTAGTCAGCACATAAAAGTTCATTAGATAACGTCCCGTTCTAGGGAAGATTTGCCTAGAGATACTCGGTAGGACTAATTTTCTGCCTGTATTTACCTATTACTTATATCTACCGCTAAACTGCGTGCATTGCTGTGAACCGGTCTGAAAGGTGTAGGGAGCAAGCAAAGTCGCATACTGTGAAGTATTCCACCTTGGTCCTTGAAGTGGTCAACGTATTTGTAGCTTTCATTGTTTCAAGTTGGTCGCGCGTGTCCACGGGCTGCAGTTGCACTTTACCATTAGCTGGTCTGCAGGTTTGTTTGTCACTTCAATTTAATTTAAAAAAAAAACATATGATTGACCATCGCAGTACCAGACGGGTTTGTCATACAAACATCTATGGGAAGAAATCTATGAGGTTTTTCTGACATTTACTGTAACATATATTATGACTTTTTTATAGAAGAGGGGCCGAGGATGCCGTGTAGTGGCGGTCAAGAATATCCACTACCCCATATCCTCCCGTGGGTGTCGTAAAAGGCGACAAAGGGAAACAGCCAGGAGATGGGCAGCAGCATCTTCCTGATAATAGCCAAATGACAATAAAAAAAACTGCGGTTGCCAACCCGCTCGCCAAGCGTGGCAACTATGGCAAATACCCCCCCAATGATGAGAGCAACAAAAAAACGGCCCCCAGTCCCCGGCGGCCCCGCTATTCCTGGCTACGGTGGCGACCATGGTAACGGCGGGGCAGGGGGTGCTAAGAATCTCCGGTGGAGGTTCGGTTGCCACCTTAGACGACTCGACCTGGCAACGTACAACGCACACACCCTGAGGACTGACGAGAAGATCGTGGAGCTGGAAGAAGAGATAGACAAGTTGCGCTGGCATATTATAGGATTATCTGAAGTCCGAAGAGAGGGGGAGGACACGGTAATCCTCGAATCCGGCCACTTGCTCTATCACCGGGAGGGCGACCATCTGTCCCAAGGAGGTGTCGGATTTATCGTCCACAAGTCTCTCGTTAACAACGTTGTAAAAATCGGGAGTGTGTCGACGAGGGTTGCGTACCTTATACTCAGAATCACCAAACGGTATTCGCTGAAGGTCATACAGGTTTACGCACCAACCTCGGCACACCCCGATGAGGAGGTGGAGGAAATGTATGAGGATATCTCTAGAGCCATGCATTCCTCCAAAACCCAATATACGGTGTTAATGGGAGACTTCAATGCAAAACTAGGCACAAGAGAGAACGGTGAGCTGAAAGTAGGGAAATTTGGAATAGGGCAACGGAACCCAAGGGGCCAGCAGCTGGCCGACTTCATGGAGAAAGAGGGACTCTTTATGATGAACTCTTTCTTCCAGAAGCGGCCCCACAGGAAGTGGACCTGGTCGAGCCCCGACGGTTCCACAAAAAATGAGATTGACTTCATTATGACGACCAGACGACAACTGTTCAGTGATGTCTCCGTGATCGCGAGGGTGAAAACTGGTAGCGATCACCGAATGGTTAGAGGCACACTGAACCTAAACGTTAAGTTGGAGAGGTCTCGTCTAATGAAGTCAACGCTCCGTCTCCCTAGTGCTCTGTTTCAAAGTCCCGAAACCTTTCAGCTCGAGTTACAAAACCGTTTTCAGTGCCTAGAAGACTGCAATGAAGTGGACGATATGAATGACAAGCTCGTGGAAACTGTCCATGCGGTTGGAGCTAAGTTCTGCAAGACCCGCCGCAGAAGAACACAAAAACTCTCCGATCACACTCTTAATCTCATGGCTGTTAGACGGGAGATGAAGCTACATTCTTCAACAGACTTGACAGCATACAGGCAACTGAACAGACAGATCTCCAAATGCATGCGGCGGGACTTACGCAACTTCAATACAGCTCGTATTGAAGAAGCGATCGAGCGGAACCAAGGCTCCAAAGTCTTTGCCAGAGATCTGTCTGCCAGAAAGAGCCAACTGTCAAAGCTGAAGACAGAATGTGGCAGCATCGTTTCCGGGACACCTGAGATTTTGAGTGAGATTGAGAGGTTCTATGGGCAGCTGTACACATCATCGTTGGAGCCACACGCAAGTGTGAGTAACGATCCAAGAGCGAGTCTCATCCGACACTATTCCGAAGATATCCCGGATGTCAGTCTGAGCGAGATTAGGATGGCTCTCCAGCACCTTAAAAACGGTAAGGCCCCAGGCGAGGATGGAATTACAGCGGAGCTTCTGAAAGCGGGTGGAAGACCGGTACTTGAAGTCCTTCAGAAGCTCTTTAATTCCGTCCTCCATGGTGGCATTACACCGGAGGCGTGGAGCAGAAGTGCGGTGGTCTTGTTCTTCAAGAAAGGTGACAACGCTCTCTTGAAGAACTACAGACCGATTTCCCTTCTGAGCCGCGTCTACGTGCTGTTTTCGAGAGTCATTACGAATCGTCTCGCGCGCAGACTTGACGACTTCCAGCCTCCCGAACAAGCCGGTTTCCGAAAGGGCTTTAGCACCATAGACCACATACATACCCTTCGGCAAGTTGTACAGAAGTCCGAAGAGTACAATTTGCCACTATGTCTGGCGTATGTGGACTATGAGAAGGCCTTTGATTCCGTCGAAATTTGGGCGGTGCTGCAGTCCCTTCAGCGGTGCCAAGTTGACTGTCGGTATATCGAAGTGTTGAAGTGCTTGTACAGTAGGGCTACGATGGCTATCCGAGTACAGAACCAGAATACGAAACCTATCCAATTGCAGAGAGGTGTAAGACAGGGTGACGTCATATCCCCGAAACTCTTCACCGCTGCATTGGAAGACGTTTTCAAGCTTCTGGACTGGAAAGGATACGGTATCAACATCAATGGCGAGTACATCACTCACCTTCGATTTGCCGACGATATAGTCCTTATGGCAGAATCGCTGGAGGACCTAAGCACTATGCTCAATGACCTCAATAGTGTTTCCCAACGGATAGGTCTTAAGATGAACATGGACAAAACTAAGATCATGTTTAATGTCCATGTCACACCTATGCCGATAGTTGTTGGGAACACTAAGCTCGAAGTTGTTGACGAGTATGTTTACCTGGGACAAATAGTCCGACTGGGTAAGTCCAACTTCGACCGAGAGGTCAATCGACGGATTCAACTCGGCTGGGCAGCGTTCGGGAAGCTACGACACATCTTCTCGTCAGACATACCTCAAAACCTTAAAACGAAATCGTACAACCAGTGCGTGTTGCCAGTGATGACTTACGGAACTGAGACGTGGTCCTTCACTGCTGGCCGTATGAGGAAGCTCAAGGTCGCTCAGCGAGCTATGGAGAGGGCTATGCTCGGAGTTTCTCTGCGTGATAAACTTAGGAATGAGGATATCCGCAGTAGAACCAGAGTGACCGACATAGCCCAACGGATTAGTAAGCTGAAGTGGCAGTGGGCCGGCCATATAGCTCGAAGAACCGACAACCGATGGGGAAGAAAGGTTCTCGAGTGGCAGCCTCGTACCGGTAGGCGAAGTGTAGGGCGTCCCCCCACGAGATGGAGTGACGACCTGGTAAGACATGCAGGAAGTCGATGGATGCAGGTGGCTCAGGACCGTGTTTTGTGGCATTCTTTGGGGGAGGCCTATGTTCAGCAGTGGACTTGTGAAGGGCTGTAATGATGATGATGATGATGATAGAAGAGGGGCCAAACGAGCATGCGGCACACCTGACTAAGTGACTACCGCCGCCCATGAACAGCCGCAACACCAGAGGAATTGCAGATGCGTTTCCGGCCTTTTAAAAAGGAGTAGGCTCTTTTATTGAAGGTCCCTAAGTCGTATCGGTCCAGAAAAATCGCTGGTGGTAATCGATTCCACAAGGAAGTTGTGCGAGGAAGAAAACATCTTTTAAATTGCACAGTGGTGGACCGCCAATCATCCAGGTGGTATGGATGGTATCGCAAGTTTTGTCTCGATGCGCGATGGTGAAATTAAGCGGCTGGAATTAGTCCGAATAATTCCTCAGAGCACTCCCCGTGGTAAATGCGATAAAATACGCAAAGAGATGCAACATCTCTACGCAGTGCCAGTGTATCGAGCCGAACAGAAAGAACTGGTAGAGCCATGCTGCAGCTAAAGGTGGTAGACCCATGCTGCAGCTATATTAGTAGAATAGTTGTAGCACGAATGGGTCGGCTCGACCGGGGAGGGACCACGCCCTCACAGAATACCAGCGTAAACTAGCAGCTCCATGCTGCTGTGTTTCGTATGGTGAGTGTAGAGAACCGGAGACCCTTTTTACTGGAAATGAGGCATTCCATCTTAGTCCTCACGGGTGACAACGTATCTGCATTTTGTATCGCAAACGAGGATAAATGTAGATGTCTATGGGCCACAGCAACCACTTACCATCAGGTGGACTGTGTGCTCGTTTGTCACTTTATCTTATAAAAAAAAAACTCGGTCGTTGA